GTCCTACAGGCCTGGGCAAAATAGTGAGATGGGGTGATTGGAGTCCAAAGCCACTGGACCTCACAGACTGTATGCAGGAGGAGCCCTAGAGAGCACTGTGCCAGCCTGGGCACTTGGGGACCCTGACCTGAACTGTCTGGTGCAAGTGGACAGCTACCACCTTCTTCATGCAGTCTTTGATCATCTGGGAGGTAAAGAAGTTGGCCTCGCCTTTCTTGTCCACGGCAATCTTGCGGTAGTCCTCCAGCAGGATTGGGCAGATGGCCTGGGTGGGATGGGTCATGTAGATGGGTCCATCATAGCCCACCATCTCACTGAAGTAGGGGAGTGCTCCACAGTGGTCCAGGTGGAAGTGGCTGGAAGGACAGGCACCAGTTGGCCTGGGGTCACCCTCTCTCAGCCACCCCACTGCAGTTCTGGGCTCATGGGTCACTCCACTCATTCACTGAAGACACCCTCCTGATTACTGAAGTCAAGGATAACAAATACAAGAAACGCTATCTTCCCAAATGTGCAGCCTGAACACTCAGAGCAGGAAACAAATCGGCAACTAAAACACGTCTTAGCTACAGATGTGCTCTGCACAGAAACAAGGCAGCTGAGGGGGATGGCATCATAGGAGGGGAGAGCTGTTGTCTCTACCCCATGGTCAGGAAGTCCTCCTGGCTAAGGTAGGAGGAGCTGGGACTGCACCAGGGAGGCCTGAGCCCCAGGGTAGGCAAGCAGCCCATGACCATGTCCCAAACCACAGACATCCAAGCAGCCGAGGACCCAGCTTCCCAACATAGGGTGCTTCAGCCCAAAGGACTCCTCTGGCCACTGAGAGACAGTACCAGAATGCTGAGGCAATTGGGCAAGGCCACTCAGAGCCGGTGGTGACAGCAGGGATTGAGGGGATAGAGCCTGAGGGTGAGAGCAGGGAGGGGGAAGGCAAAGTTGTCCCCCCTGAATCAGCCTGTCAAGCTGGGGAGGTGACAGGTGGCTAGCTAGACCACGAACCTAGAGCTAAGCGTTAGGATCAGGGTCAGGAATGAGAACAATCAGTGGGCTTAGTGTTCCAGAGACAGCAAAAGAACAGGACCAAGGCTGGGGTTGGGGAGAAAGAGCAAGGAGATGGGGTGTCTGACCAGTGAAACAGGACAGAACCAACCAGAGGACCCAATCTCTGCTACCCAGTCAGTGCCTGAAGAGCAGCCTGGGATGAAGGTGAAGCATACCATCTAGGCACTGCCCTGCCCCACTCAGCTCTTAGGGCACTTACCAGACTCTAGTCCACACACTTGGGGACACAGTCAGCAGGGACACTTAGCATGGAGTGCCCCCTAGTTCTGAGGGGCTGACCACCACCCTGAGTGCCACACAGGTAACCTGGGGACAGGACTCCCTGCCACCGTCAGTAGGCAACACACCACACCTGTAGCCTCTGTGGGTAGGGGAGGAGAAAGGCCCCTAAAGGAAGCCGACCTGATGATCACACAGTCCAGGAAGTCAGTCAGCCGGCCATTCTGGGTGATGTAGGAGAAGTCAGGAAAGCGCCTCTGAGGAGAAAACACGGGAGAGGTGAGAACACAGCTGGCACCCCAGTCTCCAGGGATGGGGGCACACAGCTGGCACCCCAGGAGCAGCATACACCCAGCTGATAGCGTCAACCACTGGCTGCTCACAGCTGCCTGGAAGGACAAGCTGCTGGCTAAAGTCACCACCAACCTCACTACCCAGCACCTCCTCAAGCCCAGCCTACAGAAACCCAGCAGGACCCAGGGAGCCTCACCCCACCCTGAATGGGTACAGCTGGCCAGGCATGCTCACTGCTGCCCACTTGCCCTCTCACTCCAAGACCCAGGGATCCTATTACAGACAGCTACAAGGAGCAATTGAGAGATGGACCCTCCCTCCGGGCACCTGCATTTAGGACTCACATCATCATTGAAGCCCATGTGCATCCCGCAGTCCAGCATGACATTCTTGCCCGCGATGGAGACCAGGATGCAGCTGCGGCCCACATCCTGCCCAGCCCCTGCTCAAGAGAAAGGGCAGGTGATAGGTGTGGCCATACCTCCTCCTTCTGCCCCCAAATTCCCTCTTTCACTGCTGCAAGTGCTGCCCGCACTGTCACCTCCCAGGCTCTGCAGAGCTGAGCTGGGGCACTGGACCCCAAGGCCACTGTATAGGCAGAGCATGGGCTGAGAAGACAGCCACCTCTACTTGCCTGCAAGAGAAATGCACAGGGAAGGGACGAAATGCTGAGCTACCAGCCTAGGGCCAAAGTGCCCTCTTCCACCAAGCTTCCCCTCAATTCTCAAAGCTGGGGCAATCCCAATGGAGGATGCCCAAGCACTGGCTGTGGTCCCAGCTCCCATAACAGGCAAAGCACTGCTCTGTGGGTCTCACTGCTGCTCCCAAGTTCCAGAGCCTGACAGGGCCATCTGTGGGCACTTAGCCAAGCTGTGAATTGAGGTCTTCTCTTTCGGGACTCATTGGGGGGTCCAGGGTGCCTGATGGTGGTACTGCTACAGAAAGACACCCAGGAGGCCTCAAGTCACTCACAGGGATACAGCCCTGGCTGTCCAGCAATAGCCGACAACCGTGGCTACAAAAGGAACAACCCAACCCAGGCAATGGGAATGCTGCTCCACACCACTGCATCCCTAGCTCTTGCCAACCATGGTCCCACTCATTCTTCTGACTTCCAAGAAACCCCACCAGCTTCTGCAGTCCAAGGCCTTGGCCAGTCCAACACCTGACCCTATGTGGCCATCTGTCACTTCCTCTGGGGCCTGGAAGCTACAAACAAAGGAACACAGCCCAAGCCTCAATGGGGATCTGAGGACACCAAATAGTCTGGTTTCCACCTTGAATCCTACACATCTGCTTCTGCCATCTACCTGAACCAACCATCTGTCAGCATCATACACATCAAGTTGACCTGGCCACGACCCATCAGCCTGCTGGTTTCAGGCAGGCATGGCAGGGGTCTTGGGTTGTCTTGCAGACAAGAGCCCCAGAGGAGAGGGTCCCAGCTGTCTCTTCCCTACTGCACCTCTAGACTTGAGGCCAAGTCAGGTCCAGAGACCCTCCAAATGTTTATGGGAGGGGAAAGGCAAGGACCTGAGGTCATAGAAGCAGCCACGAGCACATAGCCACAAAGTACAGGGCCAGGTTTGGTTATCTGAATTCCAACACTAGTTCTTAGGCACTGGCAGTTCTTCCAAAGCTCCGGAACCATGGCTGGAAAGACTCTGGAGAACACGACTTCCCAGCAGCGGGTGAGTGGGTAGGAAGATGGAAAGACAGCTGTGCAAAGGCCCTACAGTGGAGTAACCTGGGGAGACTATCGGTATCTGGCCAAGGTGATCTGGAATCCTGAGCAGGACATCCAAATGGAAAGATCCTCCAGAACTCTGTTCAGGGAAGGAAGCAAGTTCTAGGGCCACAAATAGCATATGTGCACTAAGAAAGCCAGAGATATTGAGACAGTTTCTGGGACTCTGGATTTCAAGACTTCAAGAAGAGCTGGAGTTGTGGCTCAGTGGTAGAGTGCTTGCCTCGCATGCGTGAGGCACTGGGTTCAGTTCTCAGCACCATATAAAAACAAATAAACAAAATTGGGGATGTGGCTCAAGTGGTAGCACGCTCTCCTGGCATGCGTGCTGCCCGGGTTCGATCCTCAGCACCACATACAAACAAAGATGTTGTGTCCGCCGAAAAACTAAAATAAATAAATAAATATTTTAAAAAATCTCTCTCTCTCTCTCTCTTAAAAAAAATAAAGGTATTTGTCCATCTACAACTAAAATAAATAAATAAATATATATACATATATATATGTATGTATAAAAGACTTCAAGAAGTGTGAATCTATACTTTTTTCCCAAAAGTGAAGCTATTTTTTTTTTTTAACGTTGCAGAGACTGGCAAGACAGGATGCTACTGAAGGTTGGTTGGGGGTAACCTTGGCACGAGCAGCAGAGGGTGGAGGCGGACACAGCCAGAGAGAGGAATCAAACAGTGGAGGTGGAGGGGAGCTGAGGAAGCAGAGGTGGGCACAGAGGGTGTTCAAGCAGCAGTTCACGTGCAGGGAGGGGTCAGCACGCTGATGGAGGCACCCATAGCCATGATGTAGACCCTGTGGCTGGACTTAAACCCACTGCCCGGCTAGACACAAAAACAGCACCTCCGCAGGACCCACTGTACCTGCTAGCCACCTAATCCCAGGTGGTCTCATGCTGGTTTCAGTGCTAAGGAGCCTGAGTATGGTAGCTGAGCCCCCTTGAAGTCACAGCAAGCTCTGGAGCCAAGACCAACCCCAAAGCCTTTGGACCCCGAGCCGAGGAGGCCCCAGCTCTGACCTGCCCCTACTCCTGCCCCGCGCCGCCTGCACACAGTCTCCCAGTGGGTACAGCGCAGGCGGCCCGCGGGGGCAAAGGCGCCCGGCCCTCAGAGTGCGCAGACTCAGGGCAAAATGCCGCACGTCCTCGGCGGCTCCGACTCACCCAAGGGAGTCACTCTGATCTCAGGCATCCTGCGCTCGCGGCGGGCCCTCAGCCCAGATCCTCGGTGCTCCGCTTGCAGGGAGGGCCAGGGACGCGCAACCCAACTAGCCGCGGCGACGCACTGCGCAGGTGCCACCACGGGGCCAACTTCCGGTCTGCTCGCCGGAAACTCTGGCTGGTGCGTGGAATCCGGATTGGACGGGTGGCAACCAATCAGAGTGCACAGGCAGGGTAAGGAGGCGGGGCGAGGAGGGGCGGGGCCGCGCTCGCCACACCTGCCCAACCGCAGGTTAGGAGAGGTGAGGCAGCCTCGTAACTGGTGAGAGCCGGCGCGGGGGAGGCGGGGCGAGCGAGGAGCCCGCTCCCCAGCCGCTCCGCGCCGCGCCCCGCCGCGCAGATCTGCGGCCGAGGTCAACCCTCCCCGCCATCCGGATTCTGCCGCGCCCTAAGTCCCGCAGCAGGAGCAGAGACCCGCCAGCCCGGTGCCCGCTAGACTGCTAGGTGAGACTTGCAGGCGGTCAGCCTGGCCCGCAGGCCAGGCCTGGAGTGCCAGAGGGGACGTGCTGATGGACGTCCAGCCTGCCCTCCTGCCGGGCCCTATCTTCCCCGGGGGAGGCTCAGAGGTATCCTGCTCCACCTTCAGGGAACTGGCAGGCTGCCGGCTCCCGGCTGCACAGACACGGCCCTTCCTGTTCCCACCCCTGCGGGGACAGCGCTGAGAGGCCCCTGGCAGTCCTTCTGCTGGCTCGGGTTCTGGGCGGGAAGGCTAGACCCCGAAGGAGATTGGGTGGCCAAGAAGGAACCCCTGGGGTCTTGGAGGCATCTGCTCAGTGAACAGCACTAGGCCCTGAGGGAGGGGAGGAGCCCGAAGGCTCGGGGCGAAGCCCTGGTCCTGAGGCCCAGGCTCTGCAGCCCTCCACACCTGAAGACACTGTGAGCCATCTGCTCGGGCTCCACCCTGACCCAGCAGGCAGCCCAACCCGTGGAACCTGCTGGTTCTCCGCCCGCACTGGCTCCCAGGAGGCTGGGTCAGCCTGGGCCGCGGGAAGGGCCGAGGGTGCAGAGTGTTTTCCTCAGAGCTGACGGACTTTGTGGGTGGAAGACAGAACCGGTGTGGAGATCCAGCTGTCCTGTTCCTGTCAGGCTCTCAGGTAGGGAGGCCAGACAGGGCTCCCAGCATCAAGGGGCACAGGAACCTCCAGCCCCTAGTGGGGTGAGTGTTCATCCTGGACATAGGTGAGACGCAGTCAGGTACCCAGAGCCCATGAAGCACCCCCACAGGTTTGCCATGAGCCCCAGGCCCTTGGGGCACCCAGGAAGGTGGGTGCTGGGGTGATTGGAGGCAGACCAAGGTGTGGACACTGGGATGTCTGTGGAGTGACCTCAGAGACACAAGCAGAATCCAGAGCCTGTTCCCACCTTGAGAACTTGATCCTGGACCATTTCCAGAATGTTCCCTGGAGTGTTCCTTTGAGGGGAGGGCCTGTGGCAGTCTTCTGAATGTGGTAAGACCTTTAGCCGAGCCACCCTTCTGTATGGAATGTGTGTAGGTCCAACAGCAGGAGGAAAGATGGGTGTCCACCTGTGCAGCAGATGCTGGCCCCACAGCCTGTACCCGAGCCTTAGAGTACAGCCACAAGCAAGGAAGAGAAGTCTAGTCTGCCCAGCCACCCTCCCACCTGCTCTGGCGCTCCTATCTCTGTTTTCCCCAGTATCTGTCTCCTCGTCTACTGTGTCAGAAGTGCCTACTGTCTCAGAGTCCGAGTTTCTCTTAGGATCTACACTCCTCATCAGAATGTTGCCTTCACAGGGGGCTTCAGGTGCAACCATGCTGAGGTAGCGCCTGTCTCTCAGAAGGATTTCCCCACTGTGAAACAGGGATTTTAGGGAAAGAAATCAAAACAAATAAGCAGGAAGCCTTGACAGAGGGGCCTGCTGCAAACAGGAGGCAGCTGGGGGTCCTCGGGTCAGGGGCTGACCTGAGTCAGCGGCATGAATGACAAGGAGGAGCCATGCCCAAGTCTGTGGGTATGGTCAGTCTGCGTCGGGTCTGTGAGAGAGCCTGTGGCTCTGGGGAGGGGGCACTCAGCGTAAGAGAACGGGGCTTCGTCATGGGCAGACAGTTGCAGGACCCCAGCTATTTCAACTGTTCCTCCATCCTCCCACCTCCCTGAAAGAAATGAGCTACAGAGAGAGCTGACCCAGCAGAGGACCCACAAGCTCTGTGTGGAACTGTTTTAGTTTGTGTTAGAAAATGGATGGCTTGGAGGCGGAGTTCAACCTGAAGTTTGTGCTGGTCAGCTTCCAGCAATGTCTCAGCGAGGAGGAAGAAGTACTGCTGGACCACTACATCGCCGGCTGGAAGGAGCTGGTCAGGTGCGTGCACAGGGCACCTTCCTACAGAGGTCCCCAAGTTAGCAGCTTTCCCTGACGGAATCCGCTTGCCAGGGCACAGAGCAGGCATGCCGGTGGGCTGTTCTCTGCCAGTCTTCTCACCCCTGCCTCTGGGCCAACATGTGCCCACAGTCTGAGGGTGGTGTCCCTGGAACAGGTTGGGTACTCTGGGTTTGGGTGAGACCACAAGTTCTGTCTTTGCTGCACAGGTTTCTGAATAGCCTAGGCACCATCTTCTCCTTCATCTCAAAGGATGTGGTCTCCAAGCTGCAGATTATGGAGCGTCTACGGAGCAGCCCCCAACATGAGCACTACATGAGCCTGCAGTCCATGGTGGCCTACGAGGTGGGCAATAAGCTGGTGGACCTCGATCGCCGCTCCCGCCACCCAACCTCAGGCTGCCGGACCTTGCTGCGCCTGCACCGAGCTCTGCGCTGGCTACAACTGTTCCTGGAGGGCCTGCGCACCAGCCCTGAGGACGCGCGCACCTCCGCACTCTGTACCGACTCCTACAATGCCTCTCTGGCCGCCTACCACCCCTGGATTGTGCGCCAGGCAGTCACCGTGGCCTTCTGCACCCTGCCCACACGCAAGATCTTCCTCGAGGCCATGAACGTGGGGTCCCCGGAGCACGCTGTGGAGATGCTGGGCGAAGCCCTGCCCTTCATCGAGCGTGTGTACGAAGTCTCCCAGAAAGTCTATGCAGAACACTCCCTGTTGGACTTGCCATAGTGGCCACTCCCAGGCTGGGTGGGCTTCCCCTGCTGGAGAGCTGGACTTGGGCAGCCAGGGCCCAGGCACTCCACAACAAAGCTTTCTGGGTGCCACCCTCACCCCTGCAAGCTGAGCTTATTGAGAGCCATCAGCTGACAGGAAAGGCAGGCAGCTGGCCTAGGAGAGGTGGTACAAGCCCTCCTCTGGGCCCAGAATGAGACCCTCCTCAGTTACAAGAGTGCTCAGTCGAGCCTCACTGAGGTGTGGAGACTGGGGGTGGTGGGGGCGCATAATCCTGCATGAGCAACAGCCTGGTGACTGCCCTACTGCTATGTGTGGATTCTGTGAAATGGTGTGAGGACACAGGTCCCTGGGCACCAAGGTTCTGTGCTGCTCCGGCCAGTATGCCCAGTCCACATGTATACTTCCCATGCTTGTCCTAGGCCAGGCCTCGGACACAGCAGGCCAAGCTGCCCGAGTCCTCTCCATACGCTGGCTGGCTATCCCGAGGCAGAATGAGAACCTTGGGCAGGGTCTGGGCACTGAGGACTCTCCCAGTCCTTTACCTGCCTCCTGTTAGCCTGTCTGCATGCTGAGCAAACCAGAGCCTTCATGTCCTTGGCACTGGCTCCTGGAAGCTGAAGTCTTGAGCCGAAAGACCTTCCCAGCTATCTAAATAGCTCCTGCAAGGAGGGCTTGAGCTCCAGGTGGATACCCAGTGTGCATCCACCCAGGTGGATGTCTCCTGCAGAGATACCATTGCAGGCCACCGCAGCATGGCCCAATACCACTGGGTGGAGCCAGGCACTCCCTCTGCCCCTGCTCTGATGCCTTTCCCCACAGTGCTCAGGAGATGCGGGGGTGCTCAGACTAGGAGGGGGCTGGACCCCCTTAACTAGCTGACAGTTATCAGATGGCCACACCATCCAGCCATCGTGCAATGCTTAGGGGCCTGGTCACTCCCACTGCTCTTCACCAACCCACAGGGACAGTGTTCGCAGTACAGTAGATGTGCGTGAATGCAGCTTCCAGGGTGTGCTTGGCCCTTTGGAAAGTGATATGGGTGATATTGTCCAACATAATAAACAATGCTCATGGGACTAGTTACGGCATTCCACGGTGGGGTGTTGGGTACTCCAGGTGCCTGGTTACTTTGGGGATGACCATGGAGGTAATCTGCAAGGGCATGGAGGAGCCTGACTCCAGACAGGCCTTAGGCATGTGCTCCCAACCCCAAGAACTCAAAAGGCTTTTTTGACCATGAGCACACAAGGCATGCCCAGGGCAGAAGCCGGCTCTGGGATGCTGCCTGTGCTTGTTCTGAAGGCTTTATCTTGATTCCTCACCATGAAGACCAAATCATCCCCATTTTACAGGGAGAAATCTGACACCCAGGGTCACCTACACGAGAGGCTGGGTAGGAAGGACAGGCCTGAAGCTACACATGTTGGAAGAGAAAGGTCTTCCCAGGCCAGGGCCAAATGTAGGTGGGGACTGCTCTCTGCCAGGACAGCCAGCTGGACAGGAAGAGGATGCACACTGGGCAAGGTCCTCTTGGCACTCCCCACAAGGTCAGGGTCCACTTGGGACTGGCCAGAGAGCAAGGCGGCAGGTGCATTGTGTGTGTGGTGCCCACGTGTGCACTCTGGGCCCCTTGCCATGCAACAGTGAAGAGGCACCGGCCGGCTCCACCTCCCATAAGTCTGTGCTGGGCCCAGTGGAGCCCATTCTCCCCCAGCTCCTCCCAGTGCTCCTCCCAAGGGCTTCCCAGACTCAGGCTGAGAAGAGGCCCAGGGTGCCTACAGCTGTTCCAGTCCATTTGGTTATGACCTTTCCTCCCTCATTTGCATGAATCTGTCCCCAAAGGGGGTACCTACATATCAGTCAAGGTGAGAGTACCTGGGCCAGGAGTTAGCTGAGTGGGCATAGTAGGAATAGGGTTCCCACAGCTTGCAGGGATCAGATCCCCAACAGAGGGAATGGCCAGATCCTCAAGGGGTCCGTCCTGCTCCTGGACAGCCTCCACCCCAAGACCCATTTCACACCCCAGTGGTATGGCAGAGGCCTGGCTATCTCCCAGCTGATCTGTAGGCCTGGCAAGGCCATCTCTGCAGCCTCCTAACTACTGACGGTGCTGCTTGAATTGGAAGCCAGGACTCCCAGAGCTAGAGAGAACCCCCCAGGATATGGCACCTCTTGCCTCTCTCCCAGTCACTTGAGACCCCAGGGCCCTAGACACCTCCTCTCTTCTAGTCTGGCAGGTTGCTCCAGGAATGGTGGTGATGAGGGTCTTGGTATAAGCAGGATACAGGCCTCAGCTGCCTGCCAGGTCACCGTTGGCCAGAGAGCCCAGTGGTGATGTCACGGTGAGTTCAGGAGCACAAACCTTCAAGGCCTGGATCACGACATTCCTGGGGGCCCTGGAGGATTGGCAGGTGGGCGTGGTGCTGGTTTTGCTAAACAAATCTTTTACCTCCCCCTGGGCTTTACATCTGGGGCTCCTGTCTGGCACACCCATTTGTCCTTGCTGGAAGTAACTGCCTACCATGCCAGGCCTGGCTGTGCTAGGCCTCCTCCTGGCAGCTCTCCTGGGCCTTGGGACAGGGACCTCCTTGTGCCTGTCACGGCAACTCAGGATGCAAGGAGACTACATGCTGGGTGGGCTTTTCCCCCTGGGCTCAGCTGAGGAGGCCGGCCTCCGCCACAGGACACGGCCCAGTGGCATTGTGTGCACCAGGTATGAAGGTGGGCAGCTGGGGCAGAGGGAGGGTGTGTGCCCAGGTCTGTGGTGCTCCCAGGAAGGGATGAGGTGCAGCCACCTGCAGCCCTGTGTGGCTTCAGGTTCTCATCCCATGGCCTGTTCCTGGTGATGGCCGTGAAGATGGCTGTGGAGGAGATCAACAACAGTTCTACCCTGCTGCCCGGGCTGCACCTGGGCTATGACCTCTTCGACACATGCTCAGAGCCCATGGCCACTATGAAGCCCAGCCTCATGTTCCTGGCGGAGGCAGGCAATAGCAGCATTGCTGCCTACTGCAACTACACGCAGTACCAGCCCCGCGTGCTGGCAGTCATCGGGCCCCATTCGTCAGAGCTGGCCCTCATCACGGGCAAGTTCTTCAGCTTCTTCCTCATGCCACAGGTGGGCCTGCTGCTCCTGTGTCCCCCATGGGCCCTGCCTGAGGGAGCCCTCACGCCAAGGGTCTCTCGGTCACCACAGGTCAGTTACGGGGCCACCATGGACCGACTGAGCAACCGAGACACATTCCCGTCCTTCTTCCGCACGGTGCCCAGTGACCGGGTGCAGCTGGAGGCCGTAGTCAAGCTGCTGCAGAAATTTGAGTGGAACTGGGTGGCTGCCTTGGGCAGTGACGATGAGTATGGCCGGGAGGGCCTGAGCATCTTCTCAGGCTTGGCCAACGCCCAGAACATCTGCATTGCACATGAGGGCCTGGTGCCACCCCTTGGCGCTGATACCCTGCAGCTGGGTAAGGTGCTGGACGTGCTGCATCAGGTGAACCAGAGCAATGTGCAGGTGGTGGTGCTGTTTGCTTCCTCCCAGGCTGCCCACGCCCTTTTGCGCTACAGTATCTACCACAGCCTCTCGCCAAAGGTGTGGGTGGCCAGTGAGGCCTGGCTGACCTCAGACTTGGTCATGACACTGCCTGGCATTGCCCAGGTGGGCACTGTGCTTGGCTTTCTGCAGCGGGGTGTCCAGCTGCCCGAATTCTCCCAGTATGTGGAGATGCACCTAGCCTTGGCCTCTGACCCAGCCTTCTGTGCCTCTCTGGATGATAAACCAGACCTGGAGGAGCACGTGGTAGGGCCACGCTGCCCCCAGTGTGACCACATTACCCTGCGGAACCTGTCGACAGGGCTGCTGCAGAACCTGTCAGCTGGGCAGCTGCACCACCAGATTTTCGCCACCTATGCAGCCGTGTACAGTGTGGCTCAGGCCCTCCACAACACGCTGCAGTGCAGCCCCACGAGCTGCCCTGCACGGGAGCCTGTGCGACCTTGGCAGGTGAGGATAGGGCTCCAGGGTTCAGTGCTGGCCCCTTACTGGACAGGGCCAACACCCATCTTAGCTGGAGGTAGCTGATGGGTCAGCCCCGCTTCCCTACCCCATCCCCCAGCTCCTGGAGAACATGTACAACATGAGCTTCCGTGCTCGAGGCCTGGCACTGCAGTTCGACTCCAAGGGGAACGTGGACATGGAGTATGACCTGAAGATGTGGGTGTGGCAGAAGCCGACACCCAGGCTGCACACTGTGGGCACCTTCAATGGGAGCCTTTGGCTCCAGCCCTCACAGATGCACTGGCACATGCCAGGCAACCAGGTGAGCATGAAGCACCCGGGTCCCCACCACAGTGGTGCCCCAGGGCCAGGCCGGTCTCGGGAACGGGGAGTCTCTGGGTCTCAAGGTGCCCGTGGGTGGAGCCAGACACTGCATCCCCACACCCAGGTGCCTGCGTCCCGGTGCTCTCGGCAGTGTGAAGAGGGCCAAGTCCGCCGCGTGAAGGGCTTCCACTCCTGCTGCTACGACTGCGTGGACTGCAAGGCAGGCAACTACCGGCAGAGCCTAGGTGAGCTGCCCTGGCGAGGTCTGCACGGCTCAGAGCCTGGGGAGAGTCCTGAAAGCCCTGGCTCTGTGGCAGGGCCAGGCTGGGGAGCCTGTGATCCCAGCACCAGCCCCCAGCACCCTCTCCCCTACCCTCCCACAGATGACTTCGTCTGCACCCCATGTGGCCAGGACCAGTGGTCCCCAGAGCGGAGTACGCGCTGTTTTCCCCGCAGGCCCAGATTCCTGGCATGGGGGGAGCCAACTGTGCTCCTGCTGCTCCTGCTGCTCAGCCTGGTGCTGGGCCTGACACTGGCTGCTCTAGGTCTCTTTGTCTGCCACTGGGACAGCCCACTGGTTCAGGCCTCAGGTGGGCCACGGGCCTGTTTTGGCCTGGCTTGCCTGGGACTCGTCTGCCTCAGTGTCCTCCTGTTTCCAGGCCGGCCAGGCCCAGCCAGCTGCCTTGCCCAGCAGCCACTGGCACACCTCCCACTCACTGGCTGCCTGAGCACACTCTTCCTAAAGGCAGCAGAGACCTTTGTGGAGTCAGAACTGCCACCAAATTGGGCGACCTGGCTGCATGGCTGCCTGCGGGGTCCCTGGGCCTGGCTGGTGGTGCTTCTGGCCATACTGACGGAAGCAGTGCTGTGTGCCTGGTACCTGGTGGCTTTCACACCAGAGGTGATGACAGACTGGAGGGTGCTGCCCACCGAGGCACTGGTGCACTGCCACATGCGCTCCTGGGTCAGCCTGGGCCTGGTGCACATCACCAACGCCTCGCTGGCCTTCCTCTGCTTTCTGGGCACCTTCCTGGTGCAGAGTCAGCCTGGCCGCTACAACCACGCCCGCGGCCTCACCTTTGCCATGCTAGCCTACTTCATCACCTGGGTCTCCTTTGTGCCCCTCCTGACCAATGTGCAGGTGGTCTACCAGCCTGCTGTGCAGATGGGTGCCATCCTCCTCTGTGCCCTGGGCATCCTAGCTGCCTTCCACCTACCAAAATGCTACCTGCTCCTGTGGTGGCCCAGGCTCAACACTCCTGAGTTCTTCCTGGGGGCAGGTCCTGGGGATGCCAGGGACAGGGGCAGGAGTGGGAGTAGGGAGGGGCCTCAGGGAAACGAGGGACCCTTAACCCCACACCCTCATACCTAGTGACTCCAGCCCTAGTACAGATAGCCCCAAACCCAGCAGCCCCCCAGACTGTGCCCCCACAAAGACCCTCAAGCTCTGGATTCTGACCCCAAGTGTCTGCAAACCTTGAGCCCACTGTGATGCCTAGGCCTGTACCAAATGGGAGAGGGCCTGTGACCCCACCCCAGGGCATCAGATGCAAGCCTTGTCCTTGACTCTGCCAACCAAGGTCTGACCAGGAGGCTTGGGCCCACCATCCTGGGAGGTGGTCCACAGAGGGTGCCTTCAGACCTGCAGCCACACCGTGAACTCTGCAAAGCCCTTTCCAGTCACCAGTAGCCAGGTAGCGTATTGCTCACCTGGCTGCATCCAGCCTGGGGCCTCCACCTAGCCCCCTGCAGGTGTTAAAGGCGTGGAAGGTGGGCATGAGCACATGACCAGGGCAGGATGGGAGGGCCAGCAGGGCAGAGGGCTGCTCAGGGAAGAGAGGGCCTCCTTTCTCCTTGGCCTACCCAAGCCAGCACCATGGACAGAGCCCAGGCAGAGGTGGGGGTCAGCACCATGGCCAGCGCTGGCCACTGGGACCCCTGAAGCCAGGAGCCAGCACCAAGGACAGAAAACTGCTGCCAGGACCCCTGCTGCCATCCAGCACCAGGGACAGAGCCTCACAGACAGAGGAGCCGGGGGGCCAGCAGCTGTCCAGGACCTCGGGTCAGAGACCAGGGACAGCTCCAGGCTGGGCCCTGCATCCTGCCGAAACCCAGCCAGTGAAGGGACATGGCTCACACACAAGTCCCATAAAATTAAATGCTTTTTAGTGTTTAAAATAGCATTTACACAGAAGCAGCTCTACGTGAACTAGACGCGGGACTGACACAGTATCTACAGCGCAGTGAGCAGCGCCGGGCGTGCCGAGACAGTGGCACAACGGCCCCAAGGGAGTCCCGGTGCGCAGGGTGCCCCTGACCTGCCCCCCACCATCCACCACACGCTTCCAGGCTCAGCGTGTGCTCCCCTCCTCTCTGGGTCCCAGGAGGGCAGGGGAATATGCAGCCACCCCGGCTGGGCAGGGAGGGGGACAGCTGACTAGCCATTCCCCCAGAGTGGGCAGGCTGGCAATAAATAAATAAGTTAGACCCCACTCTGGGCAGCCAGAGGGGTCTGGGGGCTCTAACCCTGCCACTCGAGGTCCCCACCTGGGCTGACAGGTGAGGCCTGTGCACTGGGTGAGGAAGGCTTCAGGCCCACCTTCACGTGGCTCTGGAAGTGGGAGCAACATGAAGCCAAAGAGGGCATCCTCATCCCCAAGGGAGGTCACCTCCAAGGAGGGGGTCAGAGGGTCCCTGAGGCTCAGGCCAAGGACAGAGATGGTCTCCCCAACAAGGCTCTGCAGATACAAGCCGCTCTACCGCAGGAAATGCCAGATCACAGCGATGGGGCTGATCTCGGCCCTCGCCTCCAGCCTGCTCCCATGACCCCTGGCCAGCCTCCACCACGTAGGCCCACAGAGCTCCTGTAGGGGCCACTGTTCCCCCCATGGGCAGGGTTGAAGGCACAGGCGGCCAGTTACATGATGTCCACAAAAAACTCACAGGGGTTCCCCATGGCCTTCTGGAAGGACTGGCGACTGCCTGTCAACTCTGGGGGGACGGCAGCCAGCTCCCGGACAGGTGGCCCACCAGGTGGCCCACCCACCACTGCATAGGCCTTGGTCAGGGGGTGTAGTGGGGGGAGCCCTGGGGCAACGGCTGAGAGCTGGCTGTGGGGGCTGCTGCCCCGGCTGAGCTGGCTGACCGGTCGCTCCCGCCTGCTAGTGCCGCCGGACCCACTCAGCACCGTGTGGTCTGACTCGCTGCCACTGCCCCTGGCTCCAGCTGCCCGGCGCTCCTCCTCTCGGCCCAGGGCCCGACGGCTGCTCCGGGTGGACCCGCTGCTTTTGCTCCCTGGGGGTGAGAAGGGAGAGAAGGATGATAGGGTCAGCTAGGCCTGGCCATTTCCAGGACCCCTGGCTGCTCCCAGGCAGGCAGGCAGGGCAGGGCAGGACGGGGTGGGTCTGAGCAGGTGGATGTGAGGGACAGCCATGCAGACACAGGGCAGGGCTGGCCCCACCCCAGGAAGCAGGAGCAGCTGCAGAGGCAAGGGGGCAGTGGCTGGCAACAGGGGCACAAGCCAGTGTGGTGCCCACACCTCACCCCAATGCTCAGACCAAGGGCTGGTCTCCAGCCGAGTGATTGAGGCACCAGCAGAGACCTGTGTCCTGGCCGACGTGTCAGCACTCCTGGGCTCCCACCCGGAGACCTCTGTCCACCCAGTCCCAGGGCCCTGGACAGCTAATTGGCTCAGCCCCTCTCCTGGGCTCCCAGGAAGTGGTGGGAACCTGAGGACACAGGCTGGCTGGGGACACGCTGAGAGGGACGCCGGGGGGGACCCTGGCTTACCGGCCCCGAGGGTCCACTCCGCTAGTCCTTCAGTCTAAGGCTTGCTCAGCACAAAGCAAGGGATACATGAGTCACACACCAGCCGGGCACTCACACCCGCCACCAGCGAGGCCTGACCAGAGCTGGGTAGGGCTGGATGGCTGCAAGGGCCTGTCCAGGGTTCATGGATACCCAATAGCTTCCCCTTGGGCACTGCCACCCTCTGGCCTGCCTCTCGTTTCCCATCCTTCTCTGGGTCCCCTGGGCTGGCTACCTGCAACTCTCCCAGACCCTGCAAGCATGGCCATGGGCCTCACTGTACTCAATGTGGCCTCACACATCTGCTCTAGCAAGCCAACTCCCTGGGGACTCCCGTGTCCTCTGGGCCCCGGGGCAGGGTCTTCTGAGGCACTGTCTCCTTGCTGAACTGCAGGTTCCACAGGAGACATGGTCTGTCCTCTCCTGTGTCCCAGGGTCTGATGCCTGGAGCCACCCCCACCCCTGCTCCTGTCACACCACCTCCTAGCCTCCTGTCTGCCACACCTGGAGCACCAGCCCCTACCCCGCCAGGCACAAGCACCCAAGCCTCCAGGTGCTTGAGGTCCCCTATGGGACTCGACCCTGTCCCCCAACACTGGCTCAGGTAGGAGCCTGCCCCTAGCAGGCACACAGCGGGAGGGCAAGGACAGCAGCAGGGCAGCGAGCCGGGGCGGGGCAGGGCAGGGCGGGGCGGGGCCTGAGCGCTCACCTTCACTCTGCTGGCTGCCAGCACTGCCACTGCCGTAGCCAAAGCCAGGGTCCTGGTAGGCAGGCGGAAAGCAGGGCGGGGGCCCTGGGTACTGGTAGGGGTAGCCCTGACCCAGGGGCCAGGGTGCTGCCGGGTGGGGCAGCGGGGCCAGGGTGTCCTGATCGGAGGCTCCACTGGAGCCACTGTTGAGGGTCAGGGCTGCGAGATCTGGCAGGAGAGAGGGGGTGGGTGAGGGTGGCACAGGGCCGTGGGGTGAGCCCACCACGCAGCCTCACTCACTGCTGCACAGGTCCCCGAAGACGTAGTAGCACTGCTCAGAGAAGGTGACCTTATTGACTGTGTGCCGCAGGAAGCCGTGCTTCAGCATGCCGCTGGCGTACTTCCTGGCCTCTCGCCGCTCCTTGAAGCCCTCCACGTGGGTGTACAGCCAGTCCACCACATCCGCCCCTGGCCCCACGCCCGCTGCGTCAGGCCAGGTCACTCTGGGCCACCCACCCTGCAGAGGAGCAGACTCAGCCCCCTGCCCCCACCGCCAGTTAGGTGTACTCAGTAGGGACTCACCAATGACGGCGTTGGCAATGGTGATCTTGAGCCACATGCGGTCCCGGATCTCCAGCCCCGAGTCCGGCAGCTGCATGACCCGGACAACCGCACTCATGTCACTCTTCACCGTCAGGGGCACCTCCTCCAGCTCTGCGGGACACAGCTCCCTCAGCCACGGGCAGGCAACAAATGGCAGGACCAGGGAGTGGGCAGGGGCCAGGTGGGGGCCTTTATCTCAGCCCTTGAACACCTCCCTGCAGGTTCTGGGGCCAGACCTGGGCAAGGCCACCCTGCCCCACAAACCAGAACCAGGCACCAGACAGCCTCTTCCCTTCCCCAAGGCCACCTCCCTGCAAGCTCAGGGCATTAGTCGTGTTACTGGAGGAGAAAGCAGAGGGCCACACACATCCCCCACCCGGGAAGGGCCCAAGGCAGCACGAGCAGGGAGGGGCTCCAGGCTGGGAGGCCCTGCCCTTCCGCCTTGGATTCCCACCGGGCTCTAGGGAGCTGCCACTCACGCGGGGCGCCGGGCACAGAACTGGTTAGTGAGGAGGAGCTGGTGCGGGAGACAGCGCTGGAGCAGGGGCTCGCACCGTAGCGGGGCAGGGCGCCGGTCAGCGCTGCCGTGTGGGACAGCCAGGCAGCAGGGTCGATGGGCCGCACCGGGTCAGCTGACGGCCACCGTGGGGCAGCAGACGAAGGGTGATGGGCAGATGGGCGAGGTCGGGAGGGCAGGGCACAGGGAAGAGGAGAGAGGCCCTTCAGGCTGGTTCTGGCGCCCCCGCCCCGCCCCCGCCCCGTGGGGCCACTCACCCCTCGGGATGGTGAAGTAGCTGCGGGGGGTCGGGTCCCAGCACTTGGCCACCGTGAGGCTGATGGGCCTGCGGGCAGGTGGTCACGTGGGTGAGGCCCGCACCCCCTCCCGCCTGCAGGCCCCTCGCCCCGCGGAAACGCCCCTCACCCCGTCTGGGACACGAGCTCCCGCAGCACCCGCACAGCGTCGTCATTGCTCATGTTCTCGAAGTTGACGTCATTCACCTGCGGGGCTTGGGCATTAGGGTAGCGCGGCGGGGGGCCACCCCACCCGGCCCAGCGCCCAGCCCCAGGCCCGCACCTGCAGCAGCATGTCGCCGGGTTCGATGCGGCCGTCCGCGGCCACGGCCCCGCCCTTCATGATGGAGCCGATGTAGATGCCCCCGTCGCCCCGGTCGTTGCTCTGGCCCACGATGCTGATGCCCAGGAAGTGGTGCCGCTCTGTGGGAGGGGCCGTGAGCAGCTGGCCGCCCCGCCCGCCCCCCCAGCCCGGCGCCAAGCCTCACCCATGTTGAGCGTGACGGTGATGATGTTCAGGGACATGGTGGAGTCGGTGATGCTGCTGAAGGAGGAGGCCTGTGGAGGGACCTGGTGAGCCGCTGCGGTAGCCGCGCCCCCCCACCGGCTGCCCACCACCTACCCGGTCCGTCTGCCGCAGGCGCTGCTTCCGCCGCCGACGCTTGTGCTTCCTAATAAGCCGGGAAGAGGTGCTCTGCTCCGTGGAGCTGCTCAGCCTGGTGGCAGGGTCAGAGGTCAGGGGTCGGCACGTGCGCCCAGGCCCTGTGCTCGTGGCCGGGGCCTGAGCAAACACCGGGCAGGAGCTCCGCAGCCAGCCAGCCGGTCACTGCCGCGCACGCCCCTGCCCACCGGCTGGTGTTGTCCTCCTCGTCCGAGTCAATGAAGCTGCTGGATTCTAGCTCGCTGCTCAACACTGTGGACGCGCTGTCTGGAGGCAGCCCCAGGTCCCGACGCCGGTCTCCCCTCGGGTGCCCATTGGCCCGGGCAGCTGTGGGGGCAGCAGGGCTGAAGTTGAACACATGGCCCAGGGGTGCTAGGCCTGAGCAGTCTGCACCTCCAGCTCCTGTAGTCAGAGTTGGTGAGGTGACCGGGTCGTGGGGGTCACCAGGCTTGGGGCCTGACCTCCTCTGGATGGGGCTAAGTAGGTGTTGGCAGGACCTTGGGGGTCCTGGGGGTTTATGGCAGACAAAGCTATAGTACCTTCTTCTCGGTTTCGCCGTCGGGCTCTCTCCCGCCGGTGACTGACCATGGACTCCGTGCCAGTCTCATTGTCCATTCCATCACGACTGCTGGCCACATTTGGGCTGTGCGGACAAGAAGGGGGTGGGACAGGGCAGGCCAGGCCACCAGTGCCTCAGATATTTTCCAGATCCTCCCCTGCACCAGGTGAGCCCCTGACCCCCCCAACCCATGTGTGCCCTGCCCCTGTGACAGCTCCTTCCCTCTGGGAAGGTGGTCCTTGGGCAGCAGGTACACGGGTAGCAGGGCTTGGCCCAACCAGAATCCTTACTGGAAGGAGGGTGGCCGGGAGTCCCCAATGCCACCTGTGCGCTCGAGGGGTGGGGGAAGGTCTGTGTGGCAGTCAGTTCCCTGGGACCCTGCATCTGAATGAGCACCCTCAGCTAGGACCAACTGTGGAGGGAGAGCGGGGGCTCAGGACACCCTCCCTCTTCTTGACCAGGGTACCCAGGACATGAGGGCCATCCCTCCACCCTCCCTCACCCCGCCCCACACCTGCCTTCTCCCCCCAGGGAAAGCACCAGCCCCCACCATGGACACTGCCCCTGCTGATCACTCCCAGGATAGCACACAGGCACCCCCAGGAGCCTCCAGCAGACCATCCAGGGGCTCACCCAGGAGACCACGCGACCATTGAAGCAGGGCAGCTTGGCGTTGTCGTCCAAGATCTCCTCCTTCACCACCCTGCTGGCAGACGAGGCCATGAGACCCCACCCCAGGCCCAACACAGAGACTGGGGGGGGCCTGTCACACCACAGATGCCATCTCTGGGTGCCCTACCCGGCAGATTCTACTCTTATGGGGTCTTGTTATCCTCCACTGGTCCCAACCCCCCAACACTGGGGACAGTGGCTATTGACAGTTCACAGAGTCAGGCCAGGGTTTCCCTGTACCCCCAGGTCACACTGCCAGCCCGGAGCAGGCAAGGGGTTAGGAGGGTGAGGCTCCTGAGAGAGAGCCTGGCTCCCAAGCTCCCTGCCCTTCCCTGGCCCCATCTCAGACACCTACCCAGGGTGATGCTGGTTCAGCTCCAGGCCCACCTACAGCCCTGCACCCTGTCCTGGGTCCCCAGATGCCCACCCAGCAGCCTCTCACCACGGCCACATGGCACTCAGGGGCCCCGTTGGCTCTTCCACACCCCTCATCCCAAACCCATGTGTATCGCACAGCTCTCCCTTATGACCATTCCAGAATCAGCCTCCCATCAGCCGACGCCCTGCACTCCGGTCCTGCCTGCAGCCACTGCCCCCCTACTGGTCCCCAGGGTCTCCCAGAGGGGCCCTTTCTCTCCAGCTTCCGTGGGGTCTGGGCCACATGATGTGGTCTCACCCTGCTCACTGCTGCACCAGGCCCTCCCCTGCACCCCAGCACAGAGCAGAGCTGGGCGCACCGCTGGCCTCAGCAAGGTGCAGGGCGGCCAGGCCTATTACAGACTGGGGTGGCAGAGAAGGCACACAGGCCTAAAGGCAGCCTGCTGCTCTCCTGGGTCACCCACTCAGCCAGGGAGACAAAGCAGACCCATGTGCACTAGCCCAGCTCCAACTCTCAGGGGTCCATGGTCTCCCGCAACTGAGGACCAGAATAATCAGGGACAGAACTGACCAGATGCCGGCTATACCCATTAACCAATGCCCAGCCCTGTATTAATGCTGCCCCCCAAGCAGTCTGCAGAGAGAGTGCAAACAGGGAGACCAAGTGACCCGGGGTCAGGGCTCACAGGGCAAGGGTAGCTGGGAAGGGGCTGCGGCCCAGACACCCAGAATGCAGCCTCCAGGGCCCAGCTATCCCAGCACCTGGCCCTCCGCTCTGCCAAGCACAGTGGGATTTTCCACACCCAGGACTCAGCCTAGTAGAGAAACAGGAGCCGGGAGAAAAGGCTGGACGTGCACCTGGCAGGAAGCAGCCTCCTGGCCTGGTGGGCCTAATGCCAGACAGGGCCACCCCTGCCTGCTACTCCAAGTCCAATGGCCCCAGGACACCTCCACCCAGCTTGCCCCAGGCAGCAGCAGGTGGCAGGAGGCCCCTGAGGAACTGGCCACCCCCTCACCTACCCAGGAAGCAAGGCCTAGCCTACCCACCCACTGAGATGAGGCCCCAGGCCTAGGGCAGAGTGGCTGGTACACAGGACCAGCCTGGGAAGGAAGGGTACACCCCTCTGTGGTCCTGCTACTGCCCCCAGGTGCCTCCTAGGGCCCCATGCCAATGAGGTGTACACCCAGTGGACAGAGTCATTTCTTAGGACCCTCTCAGTATCCATGTCTCTACTCACTGGCCACACCCTGCAGAACTGGGCCAGCCTTCAAGAGAGCTGCAATCCCATCCCTGGCTGGCCAGGAGGTCTCAAGAGAAGCTCTTGGCCCTGGGGCGGCTGAGGGTGGGACAGGGGAGCCCTTGAGGGCCCTGGGGCTCCACCCACTGCCACCGATGGTCCTTGGGAACCTATCCATAGCAGACCCCAGCAAGAGTCCCCACCTTAGCCCAGCAATGGCCCCAGTGGGCCTAGCAGCTTCTCCCTGCCACACCCAAGTCCCAGCCCTCTCTGACTCACCCCTGGGAACAGGAGCAACCCCAGCACCACCTCAGGCAGGCTGCCTGGTCCCCTGCAGGCCCACTCATCTCCCGGGCCTCCCCAGCCAGGGCCCCCAGAGGAGCAGGGCCCCCTCAGGTATGGCTCTTGCCCACGTGGCAGCTCTTCCCAGGGCCCAGCAGCTCTGCTCCCCCAGCCCTCCCAGTCTGTACAACCCAAGTCCTGTCTTCTACCTGGATGTGGTGCCCTAGGGCGGGGGGCAGGGGCGGGGCCGGGCAGAGTGTGAGAGTGAGTGTGCGAGGCTGCCCACAGCAGCCAGCACACCCTCCCAGGAGCACAGCCGGGTCAGGACTAGTGAGAAGCAGAAGTTACCGCCATACTTCGATACCCTAGACTGCTTGTGAACCTGGCCTCTCAGGTGGCAATGGCCTCAGCTGCCCTGCTGACCCCTGGGCAGCCACCCAGAGCACCCCAACCTAGAATTCCTAAGGAAACCCTGGTTAACCTCAAACTTGTGGCTGCTGGGTTCTGCCTGCCGCCCTTTGACCCACCCCAGGGAGGAGTCTGCGCCAAGGCAGCGTTCTCAGAGCCTGGCACCGACTGGCCAAGAAGGACCACAGACTCTCAGAGACCACAGCAAACCATCGGCCAGCCTCCCCAGCAGTGCGGCTCCAGTGCACCCCCTCCCCCACAGAACGAGCTGAAGGGGCAGTGCAGAGCCGTCCTGAGCCCTCGAGGAGGTCCCTGTGGGTACCTGTGAGTCAGGGTCCCACCCCCACTAGGCCTTGGGGTGCACCAGGCCCTTATCCCAGGGCTGGGGTCTCGCCAGCCACAGGCTCCCACACTCAGCTGTGAAGCCCAGAGCTGCTGGCTCTTCCACCTGCCCGGCAGGCAGCACTTCCCCAGGCTGAAGCTACATAGGCCCAAAGTCCCCACAGCTGGCCAGTGTGCCACAACTACCCAGACTTTTAACACCAAGGAGCTACAAGAGGTACAGAGAGGCCAAGTCACTGATTCCAGATGGCTCAGCTGAGGAGAGCAGAGGAAGAGGTGCTCAGACATTCTGGGCCCTCTGGGCCATGAGGCTCCATCAGAACACTTGTGCCCATAGACATGTGACCATGGAACCAAGGGCTCCCAGCCCTGAACCTTGCCAGGACCATCCCCGGTCTCTGGGCCTGGGTCACTACCCTTACTCCTCTGCCTGGATGCCTACCCTGCACTTCCAGTCATCAGACCCAACACTGGGCACTTCTGTGGGGCCCAACAGAGGCCTTGCCCCTAAGTCCGGGGTCATTGGAGTGGGGATACCCCTACCCGATGGGCAAAGACACCATGTGGGGAGTGCAGCCCAGCCCAGGGGAGGTTCTGCTCCTTACTTGTGGCCAAATGTGGTCAGCGGAAGCTCAAGGAACCCAGGACTAGCCCACAGTGGACTAGGGTTGAGGCAGGAGACCCAGACTTATCAGGGTACTCCTCATAGTAGCCAGTCTGGGTCCAGCCTGGCAGCACAGTCAGGACCTGCCTTCTCACCCCCAAAACCAAACTAGATTCACTTGACATTTAGGTAAGCTTCTAGCCCAGTGCTCATTCATGCTAGAGTGTGAGTGATTGGCTAGCCCTTCCCATATGAAGTTTATTCCACAAAATAAATGATTCTATAGACTAAGTGGAGCTTGGAGCTCTGCAGGTAGAACTCGGGAGGAGGGAAGCAGCTGACAGAAGTCCTCCTTCGGGCTCCTGAGACCACCAGACTATCAGCCAAGAGGCAAGGAAGAAAGAAGGTGAGCCCACCGTGTCTGCTTGCTCACTGCCATGCCAGCCCAGCCTTGACCTTTGACCTTCCCTCTGCCACCCAACTCTCATGGATACCTGAGGTCCCCAGGCTGTGCCTCTAAGCTCTCTGCCTTCTCTCTACACCCACCCATAGCCATTCCCAAGCCTGCCCAAACACCCCCAGGTCTGCCCTCAGCCCTGGTTCCCACCCCACAGAGAACAGCATGCCCTGATTCAAGACCCCAATCAGCCACCCTTCCTCCATGAGGGCAGAGGCTCGGCCACTGCTGTGTGGTGGCAGCCCCCAGGGAGCCAGGACTGAGTGGGTCCCTGAGAGATGCACCCCAAGTGGCTCTAGATGGCCCCTAGGGGTAGGACACCCTCCTCACCACACCCTTCCTGGGAGCATGAGTTTATACAGAGGAGCATCTGTGACTTTGATTTTAGTTAAATTAATAAACTAAGTTAAAAACCAAAGCGCCCTTTCTTCCACCCCATTTCGAAGCCAGGGATGCCCAGGCTCAGAGGAGTTCCAGGACAGTGTGAGGGCGCCCAGCCAGAGGCGGCAGGCCAGGCTTGAGCACCCCAGGCCCTGACCTCAGGCAGCAGGAGCACCCACGCTGGGGACGGCCAAGGACGCACCCTCCCCTCAGCTTCTCCTACTTCTCCTGGGTTGGGAGGACAAGAAAGTCCAAAAAGACTCTCAGCGCCCCCGCCCCCAGAGTCAGTCACGGAGTGGCCCAGGATTGACCTGACTGGGTCTGCCCAGGGACTGTGCAACCACAGAATCCAGGAAATGGCCTCAATGTCAAAGTCCCAAGACATGGCCATACACAAGGACACTGCTTGCCTGAGGGCACCAGGCACACCTGCTAGGCCCACAGGGCCTCAGTTAGTCCTCCCCCCTTAGCAATGCGGAGGGGAGACTCAGGTTTCTGTGGCTGAGCCGGGTCAGGCCCTGCTGGACAGCCACCTCCTGCTCCCAGTCCCAGAGGCCCAATTCAGCACCAGTGGCAAGTCCCTTCTCCCAGAAAGGCCACCACAGCACTCCCGCTCCCAGATGCCCAAGTCAGCTGACAGCCTGGGCTTCTCCCAGGAATGCAAGGAGGGACCAAGACCCAGCATCCAGGAACCTCAGGGAAGGGTGGGTGGCTCCAATCTGAACTGTCCAGGTGCCTTGAAAAAGGCAGCCAGGAGGAGCCTGCCCTGACTCCAGAAACTTCTGCAAGTCCCAGCAGACTGCTTGGGGTCCCCACTGCACCCACCCCGCATTCCCAATCCCAACTGGGGGTGTTCTCTGGGTGACCTGTCCCACCCAACTCCTCCAGGCTTGACCCTCCCCTGACCCCAGCCTCCATGAAGCACCACCCCCCAGATCTGCCCTCAGCCCTGGTTCCCACCCCACAGAGAACAGCATGCCCTGAGCCCGACCAGGATCAAAAGAAGGGACTTAGGTTTGGGATGGACTGTCAGGGCACAGGGGACCAGCTAGACTGCCCTCAGGAAGCCAGGGTCCCCACCTGCCCATCATTCGGAGCTCTCCGGCGCCCGCTGGCAGTCAGGGCCCCAGGGTCCCAATTTTGGCAGACAGATAGGTGCACACGCCAACAAGGGCCACTGAGGTGTCGGAGCAGACCCTGGCCCTGTATACACCCTGCGCGGGGGCGCAGCTGGGCCGCGGGCGCCCAGGATCGCTGACAGCCCAGACCCCGAACCCTGCCCCACACAGACAGGTGCCCTCCGGCGCCCGCCCAGGCCGCGCGGCCCACTGACCCGAAGTCCTGATCCATGGACTTGAAAAAGAATTTGTAGGCGTGCACCGGCCGGTTGCTGAGCACGTTCTTGAAATCGGCCAGCGTGACGCGCTCGGGGGCCACGGGCAGCTTGACCAGGTACGGCGTCTCCTCCTCGTCCATGTGGTAGATGATCTTGGTCTCCGCCATGGCGCGGCGGCGGCGCGAGCCCGCGCGGCGCTCAGGGCCCGGCCCGCGGCTCGGACACGGGGCGCGCTCCCCGCCCGCCGGCCCGCGCCCCGCCCGGCCGCGCCGAGGCCCCCGCGCGCCCCCGGTTCCCGCCCGCGCTCCTGTCGCTGCCCCGCGGCCCGCGGCCGCCCATCCGCCGCCGGCCCGGGAGCGAGCGCGACGGACGCAGCACGAAGGGCCGCTACTGCCCGCCGCCCCCTCGGGCCGCGCCGTTCAAGGACCGCCGGCCGGCCGGAGCGCGCGGCCCGCGGGGGCGCCCGAGAGCCGGCTGACGTCACCGGCCGCCCGCGGCGGGGCGGGCGGGGCTGCGCACGCGCGGGGCGGCGGGGCTGCGCGCGGGGCGGGTGGAGGGCCCTGGATGCACGCCCGCGCTAGCTCCGGGCTCGCTCGCCCCGGCGCCGCCCGCCCTGCGCCACTCTGCGCCCGGGCCCGGGGTCCCCGGCCAGACGCGCGGGGCGCCCCCAACACGTGCGCCGGCCTCAGTTCCAGCTCAGTCCTGGAGTCGGGGTACCCGGACAGACTGACGCGCCCGGGGTATAGGCGGAGGGACTCCCAGGAAGCCCCGCCCCCACCTGCGCGTCGCGTCCCCAGCTGTCAAAGGGAGGCCCCTCCCCCCAGCCAAGGCGCGCCCCCCCACCCCATCGGAGATGCACTGGGACCCGAGGATGCACAGGTCCTGGGTGCCCAGAGTTCAGAGGCGTCCGGTCACTCTGGCGGCCTGTGAGGTGCACCGCAGGAAGCTGAAGATACTTGTGTCATACACCGAGCCAGCAGCACTCGGTTACTCTGCTCCTGGCATTAGCCCCAAACTCGTCCGCCCACTTCCGGGTCCCATAGGTGCTCCATGAAACTCTGGCAAAGTGAATGCTTGCTCACGCGGGTGGAGAACTCGCGTGGCCATGGGTGTGCACAGAGGTGTCCAGGTGTGGTGCTCTGGCAGCTGCTGAGCCAGAAGAAGTTTGTCCTGTGTAGATTGGGCCAGCCAGAGGTCCTCTGCAGGGCAAGGAAGACCCAGTACACCCCCCAGGCTGTGAAGGGTCCAGCCATTTGCTGCTCTGCTGGCCTGGAGGCTTTCCCTGCCCCCACTCCAGGAGAAAGATTCCAGGCCATTAGAAGGAGTCCCAGGCTGGCCAGAATGGGGGCAATCCTAGGATGCAGTAGGAATGATGGGGGAAGGCATGTGTCAAGCCCCTTGTGACCTGGGACTCTCCCATCTGCCTGGTGGTGGTCATCCCAGGCCCTGGACCAACACAAAGAAAGACCCCACTACTGCCTGGAAGACCCAGAAGTTGGACAGAAGTCCCCAGTATAGCCTAGGCCCAGTGTCCTGGCCCCTGTAACTTCAGCTTTGATGGGTAGGACTAGCAGGATTCTGCCATCCTGGGCACCACCTCCCCATCACCTGGAGGCAGGCCCTCTCCCTTCAGGCCTTAGTTTCCCCGGAGGTAACCTGAAGAAACAGGCAGGATGGCCTTGGATGATCTGACCCTGAAAGGTCTCTGCTGGTGCCCAAGGAAAGAGGAAACCAGTCCCTGCCTTGAGAGCCCCGTAGGCTGGACACAAACAGCTGTGGGTTGAGTCAGGGACTGGGGCTGGCTGCCCTCTAGCTCCCAACATTTAGCCCCAGTTGTAGAAGAGGACAGTACCCAGAGGCCTGAGGCTGATGCCGACACTGGGGCCCCACTGGGTGAGTGTGTGGCCAGAGCCTGAGCCCCTGCAGGAAGGGCTTGTCCAGTGACAGTGTAGGCACTAGTAGGGCCACAGGCTACTAGGCTGGAAGAGAGGAGCACCTCCCCAAGCCAGCATTCCCACATACCTTGGCACTGTGGGATCCTTGAGGGTGACTGCCACCCTTTCCTGCTCCCACTGTAATTTTTTTTTTTTTCGTACCAGGGATTGAACACAGGGCCAAGGGGCACTTAATCAGTGAAACAAATCCCACAGCCCTTTTTTGTTGTTTTTTTAGACAAGGTCTCCCTAAATTGCTTAGGGCCTTTGCTAAGTTGCTGAGGCTGGTTTTGAACTTGGGATCTTCCTGCCTCAGCCTCCTGACCTACTGGGATTATAGGCATGTGCCACGGTGCCCAGCTCTGCCCCCACTATTCTGAGGGCACTAGAGGAGGGGCCGTGGTGGCAATTCAGGTCTGTGCATACTTTCTCCCCTCACCTATACCCCATGTTTGTGCCAAGAACACACTGTCAGCTCCTAGCCAGAGGCTGAGCAGGGAGCCAGTGAAGCCCCTGTTGGCCAGGCCCTGCAGCGCCACTCTTCTGCCCATCTCCTGCACTCCATCCAGTGTCAGACCTGCATCCTGGTGAAGCCGTCCTATCCACTCCAGGTCTGCTCCTCAGAGGACTGGACGAACGTGGTCCCCTCTGTCCTCATGTGCTTCCCTCCCCACTGTCCAAATAAACAGAAGAACTGAGACCCCTTCACTGTCAAGAGTAAGCAGCAGAACTGGGTCCAATGTCCCCTTTCCAGGACACTTGCTCCTAAGAGGACCCAGACCTTCCACTTGCAGGGAGGGACACAACTGTGGCACTTCAAGGAGAGTAAGAACACTTGTTTAGGGGTTCCTGGGGGGAGCGATGGACACTTTTGTAGACATACCTGGGCCGAGTCTAAAAGTCACATGTGGCCTTTATTGTGATGTGGCAAAACCCCCAACAAGACCAAGTGTGGCAGCACATAGAATTGTCCTCACCCCCAACTCTGTCCTCAGTCAAAACAAAAGCCAGGATGTGGCCCCAGCCCCAGACTCCAGCCCGGGGAGGGGCATTGGTCAAGGTCGTAAGGAGCCCAGTGACTGTCAAGTGGGCCATGGAAAAAGGGGAGAGAAAGCTGGATAAAGGGTCAAAAGCAGAGGCAGAGCCAAGGGGTAGCCCCATTGGCCCAAAGCAGCACAGAGGGCCTGGAGTCCTCAGTCCCAGCACAGATCAGGCAGCACCCAGAAGGGATGCTGGGCAGTGCGGTTCAGACAGGCCCTTGGGGGCTCACAGTGGCACAGAGCTCCCCTGAAAAAAGGGGATGTGCCAGCCTCCCAGCTTCCGAAGCCACCAGGTTCTGACTGAGCTTCTCTGAACATCTTCCTGCCCCTAGCAGGGAGAAGCCAGGAGGGCCTGAAGGCTTGGTGAACATAGAGGACCTTGGCTGTGGCAGAAGTGGGGACAGGGCCACCAGTGGACAAAGGTGGCCAAAGTGTGGCAGCCACTGTGGCAGAGTCCCTAGGAGAATGAGGGTTATTCCTGGAAGAGGGAGTGAGGGCAGCCACTCTGGCCAGTCTGGACCAAGTTCCAGGAAAGCAAGCGGGCCAGCCGCTGGAAAGGAGCCCGGTGAGCACGGCAAGGTCAGGGGACATCCTCCAAGGCAGAGCTGCTGGCCAGCCAGGAGCCCAGGCTCCCTTTATTTGCAGTACTCTTTCCTGAACTCTGGAAGCCAACAGAAAAGCTGGTGTCAACTCTCTGCCCCCTTCCGTGGAAAACTAAGAGCAGACATTCTACAGAACTTCTCAGACTCCTGAGCAGAGATGGTGAGGGTCTTCTACCCATGAGGCTTGCTGGAGCCCATATTTGGGGTCCTGGGAATGAGTAGGCTGGGGTTTTGCCTGGGTCCGCAGAGGGGTGGCAGAAACCTCCCTCCCAGTGCTCACCTTTGTCCAGGTCAATGCTCTTGGCAGGCAGGGGGCTGTGGGCCAGCTCAGCCCTCTCCTTCAGGATGTTGTTCTTGTAATCTGTATGGGGGGAGCAGGGTGAGGTCCTCCCGGGGGCGCCCTCCCCAGCCCGGGCCTTGGTGTCCGGCCTACCTAGTTGAATGTCTTCACTCCTGTAAGGAGCCTGGTCCTCTTTGGCCGCAGCAAACTCCGCCAAATTTACATCCTTCCTGGAGAGGCAGCAGGTTAGAGGTGTGGCCGGCCTGGGCGGGGGCGGGGCGGGAGGCGGCACTCACCCTGGGGCCTTTGCCGACTTCTTGTCCGAGTACTCATAGCCTGCCGATGGAGGGAGACGGTGTTGGGGGCAGCCTGGCCCCTCCCCGAGGAAGCCCCCCCCCCGCACTTGGGCTCGCCATCCGCGGGGTCGCAGCATCCCTGAGCCCCTGGGTCTGGAACGCTCCTGCCTCACCTCCGCGGCGGCGCTGGCGTGTGGCCAGGACCACAGTGATGAGCAGGAGGATGAAGAGCAGGAGCGTGGCCAGCACGTAGCCCAATTGCTGGAAGAAGTGGGCCCGGCCCTCGGGGACGATGACGTTGATGACGCTGCGGCCTCGCGCCAGCGTGGGGTCTGCGGGCCAGAGGGAGGCGTCAGGCACAGGCACCCGGGGAGGAAAACTGCCGCCCCCCCCGGGGGGGGGGGCGCCCTCACCTGGGCCAGGGACACTGCCGTGGCCCGAGCCGTTGCCGGGCGAGGCCCGCGGAGGCGGCTCCGCGGCGGGCTCAGTGACCCTCAGGTGGAAGACCCGGCGCTCGTGCAGGCCGCAGTAGTGGTGGTGCAGGTGGCAGGAGTAGGTACCCTCGTCAGCCGGTTCCAGGGGGTCGATGCTCAGCGAGAAGTCCCCGCGGGCGAAGGCGTCGGCGCCCACCGCCACGCGGTCGCGCAGGAAGGGCGGCCCGTAGGCTCGGCGCTCTCCGGACGCATACAGGTCCAGCAGGCGGTCGGCTCGGTCGTGCGGCACCCCCGGCGGCTGCCGGTCCCAGTGCGCCACCTGCTGTGCCTCCTCCAGGTGCCGGTCGGTCCACACGTGCGCGCGGTTCACGCAGGTCAGCAGCGCGGGCGCGCCGCGCACCGCCGCCAGCACCTCCTTCTCGCCGTCCCAGTACGCGCGTGCGGCTTGGGCTGCGGAGGGGAGGGGACGGTCAGCGTCCGGCGGCGGGAGGGGCGGGGGGGCGCGCGCAGGGCACACTCACGGTCGTCGGTGACCTCGAGGCGCACGGCCAGGCTCTCGTAGAGGTGGCAGTAGTGGTGGTGCAGGTTGCAGGTGTACAGCCCCTCGTCGCCCTCCTCCACCGCTGCTCCCGGCCCGCAGGGAGAGAACCGCCACGTGAGTTTTCCGGGCCACGCTCGCGCGCCAGCAGCCCGCATTCCCTGGGCACCCCGCGGGATTCCCTCTCCTTACCGCGGATAAGCAGTGAGAAGTTGCCGTCGTGGAAAGCAGAGGGCGACAGAAGGAGGCGGCCCCGGTCGCGCGGCTCGTATACGCGCTGCTCCCCAGCAGAGTACATGTCCACAAGTCGGCGCGCTGGGCCTCCAGGTCCGCCGCTGAGGTCCCAGTGGACCACACGCTGGCGGTCGTGCAGCCGGTCTTGGGTCCACACCATGCGGGGGCTCTGGCAGCGCAACACGGCCTGGGTACCCGCTGCCCAGCTCACTGCCGACTCAGATACCACCGAGCTGCCAGCTGTTGGAGACCCTGAGGGCCCTGGTGGGGAAAGGAGAGTCAGCAGGCTCGGGCCCAAGAGGACTAGTAGGAGTGGGGCTGGAAAAATGCAAAGAGGACTGGGGTCACTCACCTGAGGACAGGAGGACAGCAAAGCCTGGAAGGAGAGGAAGAGTAAAGCTGGGGAGGGGTGCCCTCAGCCTTGGTACCAGTCACCCCCCAGCCTGTGGCCACCTGGTTTCTGGGCCCTTCCTGAAGTCCTGGACAAGGCTGTTTCCATGATGCCCACTGAACTGTGGTGGGGGTAAAGCTGGAGAAGTGGGGACACAGGGTGGGGCTCCTGCAGCTGGACATGGGCAGTCCCCTCACACAGACCCTCTACCCTCACTGCCACCCTGCCTGGGTTTTGGGGACAGCTTCTACCCTTTGGGAGTGAGGAAGTTGTGCTCCCCCAGGGGCTGAGATGTAAGCCAGGATTTGACCCTTTGATGGCTGGCTCTGGGGTGTGGGCTTGTCATCGGGGCCATTCTTAGGTGACCATTACTACATCAGTGTATGGAGTCCACCCAAACTCCTCAGCCTGAGGCCTGCTCACATCCTCATGCGGAAGGGCCACGCCGCTTGAGCCCTCAAGGATTCTGAGACCTTAGACCACAGGGGTCGCTGCCTACAACCAGGACTCAATGGGGCCCTGATAGCCTTCTCCAAGGTCAGGAGCCTGAAGCCAGAGGAGTGGACATAGGGAAGGCACCCCCATCTGCCACCCCACAGGACCAAGTTCCTACTGCAGAGAAGTGGCCGAGTGCCCAGAGCTTCAGAGAGGAATGTGCAGGGTCAGCAGGCCAGCCAGGGTGGGGGCTGGGACAGACCCTGCACGCCCACAGTTCTCAGGCACCCCTTCAGACCCGCTCTGCTTCTCCAAGGAAGTGCAGACCCGAGGGGCTGGACCTGGAGCCCCACGGTGAGTCGGGTTTGGGAGGACCTGTGGAGGCACCTTGGCCACAGCCTCCTGCCCTTCTGGGCTCCAGCATCCCCACGACCCACAGGCAGGACTGTCAGAGGTCTGTCTGAGTCCTCAGGCCCTCAGGTGCAGGATCTCTGTGAGGCCCCCAACCCTAGCCCCTTCCCTGCAGGAACGCCTCACCCCTCCCAGCCCAAGCTCAGACAGGCAGCTCTGCCCAAGCGTGAGTTAGCCCAGAGTCCTGGGCGCTGGCACCCCAGCCCCAGCCTCCCTACTCACTCTCCAGGAGCAGGAGTTTCCACAGCAGGGCGCCGGACGGCAGCTCCATGGCGCCAGCCCAGCCCCTCTGGCTTTGTCTCCCTCCAGCCTAACTCTCCAGAAAAACAGCCGACCACCTCCCCCCGCCTAGCCCCCGCCGTGACATCACGGAGCCCTGGGCCTGCGGTCTGTGCCCCGCCCACTCCCGCTGCTCCAGCCCCTTGGCCTCCCCATCCTTGGCTGGCCTGGTGGGGAGGGGCTGCCCTGCAGGGTGGAGTGGAGCCCTGGCTGGACACTCACTGGCCAGCATAGGGAGGGGTAGTAGCCCAGTCCTTGTGGGGGTAACAGAGCCTGAGGTAGGACCCCTGAGGCCATGTGGGTATCAGTGACATCTGGGACTTCCTGGTGGGGGCTCCTGTGTCCCCCAACTTCTGGCGTCCCCCACTAGAGCTGCCTCCCACCTACTGGCCCCTGTGCCAGATGGCCCTTTGCCTCTGCCTCTTAGCTGAGGAGGACCTTGGCACCCTTCCAGGGACCCTGGTGGGCTCTCTGGGAACAGCATTATGGGCACTGCAGCGCAGTCCTCTTTAGGACCCAGAGGAGCCAACCAGGGAGGCAGGGTAGTGCCCCTGGCACTGAGGCCAGAGAGGCGGTCGACCTGGACAGAGCCTCCTCGTGACCCTGAAGTCAGACCCAGGTTAGGTGCCCCTGGAAGACCCCCACCCAGGGGAGGCAGGGCGTAGGACCCCCAACCACTCACCACTGAAGGAAAGGCACAAATTTGAAGCTCTGGGAAAACTTACAAAGTCACATAAACAGATGTAAAATAACAGAGCAGGCACTGTGCACCAAACCCACTCCTGCTCGTTAAGCAAACCTCAAGACAAAAAGAAAAGAAAAAAGATTCTAAACAACCACAGAACCCTGCATGCAGTCCGCAGCCCATTTGGATGGAATCCTCACAGGCCCAAGCCCTGGGGGCAGGATTCTGAACCCTGCCTTGGTTCTCAAGTCTTTAGACAGGGCTTCTACCCCTGGGGCTGCTGCATGGCAGGGGACAAGAGGGGACCGAGGGCCACCAGGACCAGCCCCAGGACCTGAGGGTCCTGGCTTCTCTGGGCTGGGTGGGGCCCATTTCCCACCCCAGAATCCATGTGGGAACTCGACCCCAGGCTCCTCCCGCCTTCATTCTGGAAAAACAAGCCCCGCCCGGCCAGCCGCCCTCCAGCCTGGCCTCCCCTCTGTTTGTCTAACTGGTTTCCATTAGTGCTGAGACCTCTGTGGCCATCTCCACCACACACCCTGGGAGCAGGGCCTCTGCTGCCTGGTTCTCCCGTCCCACCTGTCCCAGGCTGTCCCTCACTCACATTCTCTGATCCCACAGAAAGAGAAGGTCCAGGCCACAGGCAGATGGCTGGTCTCCGGGGCCTGGGAAGGACCCTGGCTACAGTGGTAGTCTGGGGGAGTTAAAAGGAGCCTAGAGGCACTGGGTCTACTCCTCTGCTCAGACCAGGTCACCCTAAGTAGCCGCAGGGCCTTCTCCTTCCCTGTGGGTCCCCTGGCCTCAAGTCCTGCTGAAATTTGGGAGGCCCTAAAAAAGTGCAGACGCCAACAACCCAGAGCAGGTCATGAGCCACCCTGCCCTTTGAGAGGCTTCAGGCCAGGGAGTCAAGGGAGCAGTCAGGCCTACTGCTCCCTCCCATCCCTAACAGGAAATGGGGGGGGTGGGTAGGCTGCCTGGGCTGCGGACCAGGACCAGCGCCTGCTCCCCCCCACAGCTGAGGGCCTGGGACCCTCCTGCTCCTTCCTGGGCTGGGTGTGGGGCCCCTACCAGCCCCTGGGCCGCCTCCCATGCTGTGGACTCACAGCCCACTCCCCACTGGTGTCTTCATCCCTGCAGGAAGAGGGCAGGCCAGGACAAAACAAAACCACTGACCTCACTGTGCTCTGGCCAGGCCTCCAGCGGGACCAGGGCCTGGGCCCAGCACCTCTTCTAGGGGCGTGGCCAGACAAGGGGATTGCCAGCCCACTGGCTCTAGCCGGGATCCGGTGTTGGCTCCTGTTGCTGGTGACTCCGACATTCCAAGCAGCAGGCTCATCGGCACATGGGGAAGAAAAGCCACAGGCACAGAGACAGCCAGACCCTACTGTGCACACAGCTGTGCACACGCTGTCACGCTCACTCTCAGGTTTGGAGTGGTTTCGGTACTGGGAATGGGAACCACCGAGGCTCTCTACCACTGGGCCACATCTCCAGCTGTTTGACTTCCTCTGCTTGCCCAGGTTACCATCCTCCTGCCCCAGCCTCCTGAGTAGCCCGCGGTACTCACTCACCCGCTCACACAGTCACCCCACACACAGTCACACTCACACACACTCACATATGCACTCACATACACTCTGCCTCAGTCGGTCCACAGGAACAGTGAGACCAGACGCACACACAGACAGAGGGGCCCCCTACACACTGCTGCTCCTCCACAAGGGTCCACGCTGGGCTGATTGTGGCTCTGTGGTAAAGTGTGTGCCCAGCCTGCTCGAGGTCCTGGGTTCATCCCCAGCACTGCAAAATCAACAAATATGTGAACAACCAAAAAATGTAGCTTCTTTTAAAAAACTGCACATGGGTTCTTTATTCAGCAAGCACTTACTAGGCATCAACTGCGTGCCAGGCCTGCACCAGGCGCCATCCAGCACTGCAGAACGCTCAGGCCTGCCCTGCTGGCAACCTCACGCTGGTTTCTTCAGATCATTCTGGGGTTTTGTTTTGTTTGTTTCTGTTTTTTGGTACCTAGGATTCAACCCAGGGGCACTTAACCACTAAGCCACATCCCCAGCCCTTTTTTATATTTTATTTAGAGACAGGGTCTCGCTGAGTTACTCAGGGCCTCACTAAATTGCTGAGGCTGGCTTTGGACTTGTGATCCTCCTGCCTCAGCCTCCTAAGTCACTAGGATTATAGATTGCACCACCACACCCAACTCCCCAGCCATTTTTAATCACTTATTTATTTTTAAAAATAACTTTATTTTATTTATTTGTTTTTATATGGTGCTGAGGATCAAACCCAGTGCCTCACATGTGCAAGGCAAGCGCTCTGCCACTGAACCACAATCCCCCCCATATATTTTTTTTTTTTAAAAGAGAGAGAATTTTAATTTTTTTTTTTTTTTTTTAGTTTTCGGCAGACACAACATCTTTGTATGTGGTGCTGAGGATCGAACCTGGGCCGCATGCATGCCAGGTGAGCACGCTACCGCTTGAGCCACATCCCCAGCCCTCCCCCCCATATTTTTAAAAAATCTTTTTAGCTGGGTGCGGTGACACATGCCTGTAATCCCAATGACACAGAAGGCTGAGGCAGGAGGGTTAGGAGTTCAAAGGCAGACTCGGCAACAGCAAAGCCCTAAGGAACTCAGTGAGATCCTGTCTCTAAATAAAATACTAAAAAAGATTGGGGATGTGGCTCAGTGGTTGAGTGCTCCTGAGTTCAATCCCTGGTACCAAAAAAATACATATATATATATATATATATATATACACACACACACACACACACACAAGTATATACATATATATATATATATATATACACACACATATATATATATACACACACACACAAATATATATATATATATATATATATATATATATATACACACATACATACATACATACACACAGACACATATACACACATTTTTAGTCATAAATGAATACAATACCTTTATTTTATTTTTTGTGTGGTGCTGAGGATTGAACCTAATGCCTTACATGTGGGAAGCAAGCACTCTACCACTGAGCCACAACCACAGCCCCTGTATTTTTATTTTGAACAGGGTCTCACTGAGTTGCTTAGGGGCTCATTAAGTTGCTGAAACTGGCTTTGAACTTGTGATCTTCCTGCCTCGGCCTCTCTAGTCATTGGGATTACAGGTGTGCACAACTGTGCCTGGCCCTGCTGATCATTCTGTGCACTGAGCGAGTACCAAACAAGCAAGTATCAAACAAGGCAGACACTTGCTTGGCTGGACTGGCCAAGGACAGGCTCCAAGGGCTGAACAGGGGGCTTGAGGAGGTGGTCTCCTGTATGGCAGGGCAGCAAAGGAGGCCTGAGCTGGGTCTGCACAGGAAGGGAACACGGAGCTGGTTGGTCTGAACCTGTCAGGGAGTATGTGGACACAGAGGTAAAAGGGCTCCACCAGTCCACATTGGGCAGAACTAAGAAGGTGCCCAAGATTCCTGGCCCCTGGGGCCTGTGTCCATCCAGCCCCTCCCTGTGAACGTGGGTTAGACAGATCAGCATCTCGGCTGGTCAGTGGGGAGCCTGGTCTGACTAAGGAGAGTGTCCCTGTCCTGGCAGCCAACACAGCCTCATGGGCCTGGAGCTGTTCACTCTGGCTGAGAGCAGCAGGAGCCCGAGGAGTGGCCGGCACCCACAGAGGGTGGCCCTCGGGAGCCAAGGGAAGACTGGACCTCAACCCCACAGCTGCCAGGAACCAGACTTTTCAGTGGCCTCCTCAGGGACAGCCCAGCAGAGAGACAGGCCCTGGCTGTGGGAGCTGTGTGTTATGTCAGGCGGCAGCAGAGCACCAACCTCGCCCCTGGAAAGAGAGCAGGGCTGGGGTCATGAAGGCCAAAGCCCCTGTCCCACGAGGAGGAGAAAGCTTCCCCAGGCCCACCCTGCTTGGTCTCCTACTGACAGAGGGGCCCGGTGGGTCAGGAAGGCCAGCCTTTCCTTCCTGAAGCCGGGGCTAGGCAGCTCTAGAGAGCCGAGTGGGGGGCCCAAGCTACAGTCCTCTTGCCTCAGTCCCCCAGGTGGGTGGGACTGTAGGTGTGCTCTGGGTCTGATTGTTTGTTTTTTTTTTTTTTTTGCTGTTATTGTTTTTTGTCTATTTATTTATTTTTAATTTTTTATACTTTTATTTTATTTATTTATTTTTTTAATGTGGTGCTGAGGATCAAACCCAGGGCATGCTAGGTGCGCACACTACCACTGAGCCACAACCCCAGCCCTTGTTTGTTTGTTTATTTTTTGTACCAGGGATGAACCCAGGGGTGCTCAATCACTAAGCCACTCCCTAGCCACTCCCCGCCCCTTTTTTAAAATTTTGAAACAAGTTCTTGCTGAGTCGCTTAGGACCTCCCTAAGTTGTTGAGGCTAGCTTTGAACTTGCGAGCCTCCTGCCTCAGCCCCTAAGCCACTGGGATTACAAGTTTGTGCCACCATTCATGGCTCTGTTTATTTGATTGTGTTTTGCTTTGTTTGAGCTGTGTTCTTCTTGTTACTTTAAAAATAATTATGCTGGGGGCTGGGGATGTGGCTCAAGCGGTAGTGCGCTCGCCTGGCATGCGTGCGGCCCGTTCTTTTAAAAAATAATAATAATTATGCTGGGCTGGGATTGTGGCTTAGCGGTAGAGCACTTGCCTAGCACTCGCCTAGCACGGGTGGGACCCGGCTTCGATCCTCAGCACCACATAAAAATAAAGGCATTGTGTTGTGTCCATCTACACCTACAAAATAAATATTTTAAAAAAATATTAATTATTATTAGGCTTTTTCATACAGAGGATTGAACCCAGGGATGCTTTACCACTGAGCCGCATGCTTTACCACCCAGCCCTGAGATCATAGATGTGCTCATGTCTGTTCTGATTGTCACCAAACCACAGGAGCATTTAGACACAGAGATAAAGCCAGCATGAGAGTTGTGGGTGGCCTCAGCACCTGAGCAAGCATGTCCATGCCTGCCTGAGGAGTTAGCTGCTGGACGTGGTCATGGGGTGTGGCTCCGTGCCTCGGCTCAGGAAGGCTGAGCAGTCCTTCCTATTTCATTCCCTGTGGCAGGGGCTTCGTAACAGGGGAGCTCTCCAAGTTGTGGGGTAGTGGTTAGCAGATGGCAGGACCCTCCCGTTGTGTCTGCAGACCACCTCACCCTACACAGCCAGGCAGGTGGTTTTGGTATAGCTGGGGTCGCATGGGGGCCCCCACAGACAGGCAAGGCGTAGAGACATGCCATTTTGCATATTGGAAATTGGGTTCCAGTTTTGGCAGGCAAAATCAGAAGGCACTGCTGGGGAGACATACCAGTCAGTGTCACCCTCACGCAGGGAAGGAGGGCCACTGTCATGGTTCTTCTAATGTGCCAATATTTAAAACCAGCACAGCAGTGAAGGATCTGGGAAGGCCAGGGAGAAACATCCCTTCCTGGGGGAGTCACCCGTGGCTGGAGGGGGCCTGGCGGCGTCAGGGTGGAGGAAAGCACCTTGAGAACCTGTGCTTTCAGGATGGGCTTTCTTTTCTATTGCGTGCACCCTCCTAGTTGAACAGGAGTAGCATGCCTTCCTCAGAATGTGTTTGTGTTTACATGAATGCTCATGTCAGATAACAAATCTAAACCTTTGGTTTTAGTCTTAACCACACGAAAGTCTGTATACCTCAGCTGGATATGGTGGCACACCATATCCAGTCCCAGCAACTCTGGAGGTTGAGGCAGGAGGATAGCAAGTTCAAAGCCAGCCTCCGCAACTCAGATCCCTTCTCAAAAAATAAAAAATAAAAAGGGCTGTGGATATTGCTCAGTGGTAAAGCACCCATGGGTTCAATCTCCAGTAACCGCCCCTCCAAAAAAGAAATTGACAAGACAACCTGTATGTATCCGACTCACATCACTATACAAGTTGACTGTAAAACAAGCACTCTTTAAATAGTGACCCACTCTTTCTGTAATCTTTTGTGGATTTTGGCATCTTTAGAAATTATTCAGATGTTTCCTGTGAACTTCACCACAAGACAAACCTTGTTAACACCTCGAGGCTGACAACACTGGGGCAGGTGTGAGCAGAGATCTCAGAGCAGCAGAGCTGATGGGCCATGTCACCAATGGGTTCCACTGGTCAGACTGCACTGCCCTGGGTGGGAGTGTCTTCACGGGTCTTCCTGTTTCCCAGCAAGCCCTAGACAGAACTGCTAGGATGGCATATGGAGCCCCGCACCTGGGCCCCAGCTGAAGGGTGCTCCTGGTCCTCCATATTGTCTTAAGACAAGCCAGGCACATCCCAGACAGGATGGTGGCACTTCTGTCCTAACTGGTAACCACACCTTCCTCCCGACCCAAGCTGGGGGTCCAGTTGGCTTTGCTGCCACATAGGAGCAGACTTCTGTGGGTGAGTCCTCAGGAAGCTGCACACTGCACAACCCTGGACTTCCTTCTTCTGCAGGATGCCTGGGTGGCCCTCACTCATGGGCATTTGTTCCAGAACAACACCAAGCACTTGTTAAAATGCAAGGAGCTAGATGTCATCCAAGCAACTTGGGAGGCTGAGGCAGGAGGATCAAAAGTTTCAGGCCAGGCTGGGCAATTCAGCAAGACCCTGTCTCAAAAAATTATTAGAGGGCTGGGGATGTGGCTCAAGCGGTAGCGCGCTCGCCTGGCATGCGTGTGGCCCGGGTTCGACCCTCAGCACCACATACAAAGAAAGCTGTAGTGTCTGCCGAAAACTAAAAAATAAATATTTTTAAAAAATTATTAGAGAAGGGGGTGGGTGCAGGGAGGCTGGGGATGTGGCTCAGAGGCAGAACACCCTGGGTCCAATCCCCAGTAACGCACACATATACACAAAGTATCTGAGTAATGAAATAGTGTTGGATTATAACCCAAAGTGTGCAATTATCATCCTCAAGTCCATGCTGATCTGCATGAGGGAGTGAGTCAACCAAGCTTGAGCAAGCTTGAGTCCACACACAAGGGACAGGAGGGCCAGACGTGCCTCTGCGGCCAACCACCTGCTGCCGCTCGAGATTCTGCCCATCAGGACTTCTCAAGGACTTGGTGGGGACAGCTTGTCCATGCTCCCTGTGGTGTTGGCAGGGACGG